AACGACAGTGCTATTTGCATGTACAACGACCACGAGGCGCTCTGGTGTCATCGTAGATTCCTCGCGTGTCTTCTTGTCCGTTTCATGGCATCGAATATACGTTCCTGCCATAGGGAGGAGTGTGATACCGATGGTCGATCTATCGGCGAGTTGACAGATGTGAAGGATGTTCAGAAAACATTAGATACGACGATTGACCAGGAGGCTTTGTGTCAGGAGTTTCTCGTTCGAGCGTTTCGCGCGCGTACCGACCAGATCGCTGACCTCGCCAACAAACGAGATCAACACGAACGGATGTTGGTAGAAAGGTTCTTTAAGTTTCTACAGAGTATTGGATTTGAAATGAGATCGTGATCGCGTTGTGCCGCGCCGTGTTTCCAATTTTGAACAAACGATGACGTATGCGCAATAAGACATGTAATATCCTATTGGTTATCTGGGCATAGATCGACATGCCACTTTAAAAATCACGCAATAATTCTTATTCCGTATTCCACGCAGACGTATCTCCGTGGCGTATACTCTATTCATGAATTGTATATCTCAATAGTGCTCTCTCGTCTGACCCGAACTCTCGCGCATAAACGATGTCGTAGCGTCGTTTCGATATAACGTAAGATCTAATGTACAACGTAGATGAAGAATGGAACTTGTATCGATACTTATTTTTGAAACGTTTACCGTATATCGTTTGAGGGAATTTTCAGTAACTGAACCGCCGATATACAGGGTGATTTGTCTAACTTAATCACTGTAAATTACTCGTAAATCCATTCTCATTTGGCATATAAACAATATAAAGATATAATAATCATTGTACCGTATGTCTCCTTGGAATTCACATAATTTCTGTTTCATATATTTTCCCGTACAGCGAATGCAGTTCACGAGTTACGCGAATCATCCTGTATTGTATCGTAATAATCAAAGGTAAAAGGGAATAAAACAAGAATCGGGTGGCGTTTGATTTTCTAAACGTCACCCGCTGTTCAAGAGAATAATTATACTATGGTTGCGTGATATACAGGAGAAAAAAAGTGTCTTTTGAGGCTATAGGGAAGTATTATTCGCGAGAAAAAAATGTGTATAGTCGAACGTTGATAAAATACGAGACGAATGGAGAAGAAAAAAA